TCTCTTTCTGGTCAGTAAATGAATAAAAATGGAAGACAGCCACCACAACAGCCACAACAACAAGGCATCCATCCTTAAGGTTGAATATGGAGAGACTGTCTTGTCTCCTCACACTTTTCCTCAGAAGAAGGAAAGGAAGGAAAGACACACACACACACATCCACACACAAGAGTTGTGTTGTCTGTTTTGTCTTTTCTCTTTCTCACACACACATACACATACACACACTCTCTCTTTTTTACACAACTGTTTTCTCAGGAGGTGCCTCCAGTTGGGGCTGCTGAGGCGAAAAGCTGAGAGGGATGGAAGAAGAGAGCCAAAAGCAGCTTGGAGTTGCTAGGAATGACCGAGAGTAACCTCCTCAGCGATGGGTGACCGCTTAATGAAAGCCATCCGTCTGGCCGACACAGACACACAGGCACAGTTGCCGTGTTGTGTGCCTTCAAGTCGTTTCTGACCTACGAAGGCCCTGAGGCGAACCTATCGTAGGGTTTTCTCCGCAAGATTTGTCCGGAGGGGGTTCACCTCGCCTTTGTCAGCCTCTGAGGCTGAGAGAGTGTGGCTCGCCCAAGGGCACCCAGTGGGTTCCCATGGCCGAGCTGGGATTCGAACCCTGGCCTCCAGGAGTCGTAGTCCAACGTTCAAACCGCTACACCACACTGGCTGTGGGCATACATGCATTGTTGTTGTTGTGTGCCTTTAAGTCGGCTCTAGTCTATGGCAATCCTAAGGCAAACCTATCACGGGGTTTCCTTGGCATGTTTCTTCAGAGGGGGCTTGCCATTGCTTTCCTCTGAGGCTGAGAGAGTGTGACTTGCTCAAGTGATTGCCACCCAGCTGGTTTATATGACTGAGCCAGAATTCAAACCTTGGTCTCCTGACTTGGTCTCCAGTGCTCAGACCACCACATCACATCACACTGGCTCACTACATACATCCATACATATATACATCTGCCTCTGTGTGTGTGTGTTGTGTACCTTCAAGCCATTGCCATCCTCTGAGGCTGAGAGTGTGTGACTCACCCAAGGTCACCCAGTGGGTTCCTATGGCTGAGTGGGGAATTTGAACCCTGGTCTCCAGAGTCACAGCCCAATGCTCAAACCACTAGGCCACGCTGGCTCACTACATACATACTTACATATATGTATGCACTTTGAGACTGTGTGAAAGAAGTTTTAGCATAAGCTTTTTGTAGGCATGATCTACTTCCTCAGATGCATGGCAGTTAAAAACACAGCTGTGTCTCTGAGAGAGAGAGAGGTGTGGTTTGAGCATTGGAGAGCAGGGTTCGAATCCTGCCGGGTGAGCTTGGGCAAGTCACACTCTCTCAGCCTCAGAGGATGGCAATGGCAAGCCCTCTCTGAAGAAACTTGCCAAGAAAACCCTATGATAGGTCCACCGTAGAGTTGCCATAAGTTGGAAGCGACTTGAAGGCACATAAGAATAACAAAAGTCTCTGGATATATCCTATATGTAATGTCTGCAAATCCACACCTCAGCTCCAACAAGGAGTTAAGCCACGGCAAGGGAGAAACCAGGTCCAGGGAAGAAGTTATTTGCCAGGGGAAGCAGCGGAGGAAGAGGGTGATAATAAAAATTCCTATTTAATAATACCGTCCTCCGTTGTGCCCTCATCCCACAAGTCTGTTGTGAAACTCATTCTTTCCTTTCCCGTTCCAGTAAGTCAGGGAACAGGGAGGATGGCATTCCAGAATAAAAGGGAATCCCAGAAATCAGGAAATGCTCCCCCCCCATACATATTCCCCAAAATTATGTTTTTCAGTCCTTTGGAATCCTAGGGACAAAGTATGTAAACATATCTGAACAAAAGCCTCTAGCAGAGTTGAAAAATTCCTAGTATTACGCTCATGGGGCTACCGAAAATGGTGGACTGGGGATGGCAGAAATCCCAAAATGGGCTGAAAGTCCACTGTTGGTTTTGTGGGGATGAAAAGAGGTATTTTGGATGATTATGCAGCCTCCCGCCCAATTAATTTAAAAGGGATAAATTCAACAAATAATAACTCCAAGAGATAAATTCACTTCGGTTTTTTAAAAATTTTTTTTTGGCAAAGATGGTTGGTGTGAGAGGAATTGGGTACCACACAGACAGCCTTGAGGGGCTATATGCTGCCCCAGGTCTGTACTTTGCTTACCGTCTCCCCAGCATATAGATAAGATCAATAACTTTCTGTTACAAGTTTGTGTTTGTGAATTAGTTGAAAGGGGGACCTGGGTTCAAATTCATCCTCAGTCCTGTAACTCATCAGGCGATCTGAGGCAAGTCATGGTCTCTTAGCCTATCCCTCCACATAAGGTTGTTGTAAGGATAAAATAGGATGGGGATTGCCAACTTATGAAGAACCTAAGGTGGGTTGCTGGGTTTTCTGGGGCTGAGAGAGTGTGATTTGCCCAAGGTGACCCGGTGGGTTTCTGTGGCTGAGCAGGCAATCGCCTTCCAGAGCTGTAGTCCAATGCCCAAACCATTACACCATGCTGGCTCTAAAATAGTCATGTAGCAAATGAGGAAGTGTGAGGGACAAATACGGCAAACAGTACAAAATTGCTATTTGGATGGTTCAATTTCGGTTGCAAATCCAGGGTTTGGGGGAAGTGTGCCTAGAAAGAGTTTTCATGATGTTTGCATATAGAACTTTACACTTGCTCCTTTAGTTTTCTTGCCACTTCCTGCATGGGACATACTGTTTGTCATGCCACCTTTTATCCCAGGATGCTTGTTGTCGTCGTGTGCCTTCAAGTCTTTCCTGATTTATGGCAACCCTAAGGTGACCCTCTCATGGGGTTTTCTTGGCAAGATTTGTTCAGAGGAGGTTTGCCCTTGCCTTCCCCTGAGGCTGAGAGCATGTGACTTGCCCAAGGTCACCCAGTGGATTTCCATGGCTGAGCAAGGAATTGAACCCTGGTCTCCGTTTTATGATGTGACACTATATGGCACTATCTAGAAGCTTACATCTCTGCATTTGAGGCTGTCCAGGTCTTATGAACTTTCTCTCCTCCTACCATCTTCACAGGTTCATCTGGTGAGGAGACAGGAGACGGCCTTCTCACTGGCTGCTCTTAGGCTATGAAATGCCTTCCCAAATGACTTTGGACAAGTCAAACTCTCTAAGCCGCAGAGGATGGCAGTGGCAAATCCCCTCGAAAGAAACTTCCCAAGTTTCGCTTTAGGGTTGCCATGAGTTGAAGGCCCACTAGAATAACAAAGACCCCTTTTATTTGAGCACACCTTCAGCTTCTAAACTGGTTGGCTCAGAAATATTTTTTTTTTAAAAAAAGAGAGATGTGGTATGGTATATCTCTTGCTATCTTTTGAATGTGTTTTAATTTGCTTGTTTGTTCATTTAAAAAATTGTATTATATATAGTTTTAGCTGTTTTTTGCATTAACGTTAAGCCACTTTGGGTCCCATATTTGGAGGAGAAAGGCAGGCTATAAAATAAATGAATACATGGAGAGATAATAAATAAAAAATAAATAAAGAGTACATCCTCATCCTTCAAGAGCCAGCATGATGTAGTTTAAGCACTGGATGACAACTCTGGAGACCAGGGTTCGAATCCCTGCTTGGACATGGAAACCTATTGGGTGACCTTGTCAGTCTTAGGGGAAGGTAATGGTAAACCCCCTCTGAACAAATCTTGCCAAGAAAACCCTGTGATTGGTTTGTGTTGTTGTTGTTGTTGTGTTGTTGTTGTGTGCCTTTGAGATATTTCTGACTTACGGCGAACCTCACAGAGTTTCCTTGGTAAGATTTGTTCAGAGGGGTTTTGCCTTTGTTGTTGGGTGCCTTCAAGTCCTTTCTGACTTACGGTAATCCTCTCATGTAATTTTCTTGGCAAGATGTATTCAGTGGAGATTTGCCATTGTCTGCCTCTGAGGCTGAGAGAGTGTAACTTGGCCAAGGTCACCCGGTGGGTTTCCATGACTGAGTGGGGATTGGAACCCTGGTCTCCAGAGTCGTAGTCCAACACTCAAACTGCTACGCCACAATTGCTCTATAGGTTTGCCTTAGGGGTTTCCATATGTCAAAAACGACTGGAAGGCAAACAACAAGAGCCTCACATCAACTTTGCAAAGGGGATGAGGCAGAATATGGCCCAGTGTTATCTCTCCAAGCTGATAGTAAACTCTGTGACAGAGTTGCACAAGCAAGGCATAGTGCAAAACCACACCGTTAATATTAGCAAATACAAAAAATATTGAGGGAGTACCTAGAAAGTTTTGGTTAAAGCAACAGTGATTCAGTCACCAGTGTGTCTGCCCATGTAACTGAATATTTGGTGGATAGCTGTTGCTGTTTGTTCCTAATTTTAATCCCTGTCCAGAGTTTATGAATTGCAGTTCTCTCTCTTTGTACACATGAAGATCAGGCACTGGAGTCCTTGGACTGTATGTTCCATTTTAAAATGTTTTCCGCATTTACAACAACAAGAAAAAATCCCTCTCACCTTTATGCAGAGAGTTAGGAAACACAAGAAGAGGGGGCAAAGCTCAAGATAATACTGAACTGAAATATTTCTTACCTTTACAAAAAACCCTAATACAGTTAGAAACATGTTCTGAATAAAGGTCATTTTGGGGACAATAGTCTATTGTTCTTTAAAGAGAGCTTTCATGAACTTTTC